CGTTGGTGTGCACTCTACTGTATTCCGTTCTGACTTTTGAGGAGTTCTCACAAGTCAACACATGCACACCCGTGCATCCTTCCTCACGCAGTTGTGTGCTCTCCACTCTATTCCAATGTATGTGGGTTGCAGACGAGTCAAGGAAAGCAGGCGAACGAGCAGGCTCCTAGTGTGGCAGCTCTCAGCATTGACGACCGCCCCAAGGAGCAGCAGGCACCACAAGGTAACCTTTCTGCCCGGACACTCCATTGCTCCACCAGACTCAGAGGGCTCAGAGCAAGCAGGGGAGAGAGAGAGACCAGCAGGCTCCCAGTGTGGCGGCACTCAGCATTGATGACCATCCCCAGGCACAACCGGAGCAGCAGGCGCCACAAGGTAACCTTTCTGCCCAGACACTCCATTGCTCCACCAGTGACTCAGAGGGCTCAGAGCAAGCAGGCGAGTGAGAGAGACCAGCAGGCTCCCAGTGTGGCAGCCCTCAGAATTGACGACGCTCTAAGGCACAGCAGGAGCAGCAGGCGCCACAGCCACAAGGTAACGCTTCTTCTCGCACAACCACCAGACTAGTCAAGGCAAGCAGGCGAATGAGAGCAAGCAGGCTCCCAGTGTAGCGGCCCTCAGCATTGATGACCGCCCCAAGGCACAGCAGGAGCGCAGCAGCAGGCAGCACAAGCACAAGGTAATGCTTCCTCTCGCAACCAGACCTCATCCTGTGTTCCCACCAGCCCTGGTTCCATGCCAGCTCAAATCTCTCCTCGTTCTGTGCCCGTTCCCCTTCCATGTAGACCAGGCAGCAGAGAGGGCAAAGAGAGTGCGCAATCTGGGGAAGCGTTGAAGGTGCATTGTGCCCACCAGGCCTCATCCTATGTTTTGCCCACCACGCCAACTCAACTCCTCTCCTTGTTCTGTGCCCGTTCCCCTCCCATGCAGACGAGGCAGCAGAGAAGGCGAAGAGAGTGCGCAACCTGGGGAAGCGGCTGTGGCAGATTCCTTGCCCTGATTCCGTGTTGATTCACTCTTTTCCTCCATCCCTTTTCCTGCGCAGGGCAAGGCAGTGGGGCAGATGAGGCAGCAGAGAAGGCGAAGAGAGTGCGCAACCTGGGGAAGCGGCTGCGGCAAATTGAGGAGCTGAAGGCACGTGTGGCAGCAGCTGGGGGCAGCACGGCGGGGCTGGATGCAGCACAGCTGGAGAAGCTGACTCAGGAAGCAGCAGTGAGGGCGGAGTTGGCGAGCTTGCAGGGATAGGGTGGGACAGAATTGCACAGTGTAACAGCAACGTGAGAAGCTGGATCTGGTTACACGGCAGGGCAAGATGCAGTGCAGCGGGAGAAGCTGGAGCAGGAAGCAGCAGTGAGAGCTGAACTGGCGAACTTGCAGGGGTAGGGAGAGGGAGCTGGCGAGGGAGAGGGAGACACAAAGCAGGGGGGGTCATCTTAGGCCTCATGTGAAACTCAGCTGGCGGGCTTGCCGCTGGGATAGGGTGGGATAAGGTTACAAGGCGACACAGAAGAGAGGGAGAAGAGGGGCAGGGCAGGAAGGAGGCGTCTGTGAGAGCTGAGTTGGCAAAGCAGACAGCTCAAGGTTACATGATGGAACAGCTGCAGGAGAATCGGGATCAGGAGGGACTGATGAGAGCTCAGCTGAGGAGCTTGGGGGAGTTGGGTGGAGAGAGGCAATGCAGGTCAAAGGGAGACTCTGGAGCTGGTTACAAGGAGGAACACTTGGGTTGAAGCTCGATTCTTCGTATTCTTTGTTCTTTTTCATGCCGTCATTCCTCGGATATTACGGTAGGTTTACTACCGAAGAGTAACTTTATGCGCGCATGGAACAAATGAATGGCAATCGACCTTTTTTTTTTCACCAGCTGTATTTTTCACCAAGCGTACCGTCATCCCCCGGATAGTACCGGGCCTGTGTAATAATCGGACTAATGGGCTTATAGTCGGTTGCCATCGTATTTGCCCACCCCAAATTAAGTCCAACTTTTTTATAAGAGGACCGAATGAATTTTTGTGCTGTTCAAAGTGCCACTTGGCCAATCTGTGCATCATCTAGTGGAATCGCCACGCCACGCCACTAACGCGCCAAAAGCAATCGTCACTGACGTGCCTGGAGAAATTGCCACGGGGGTGCTGGCAACATTTCAGCTAGTGCTGGCAGGAATTCTTCTTGCCAGGGTGGCACTGGCACATTCCGGGTGATTTTCATAGCGATCCAGTGAGAATTCTTCTTGCGTTGATGTCAGAATACAGTATCCGGCTTGTCAGTGTGGCGCGAAACAGGTTGTACAGTACGAGAGATCTCATCTCACAGTAGTACGTACAGTACTAATAAGCTGGTGTATGGGTTGTAATGGGGTACATAGATACATCTTTTTCAGTTTTAAATGAAAGAAAAACGGAAAACGCAGCCTCAAGAACACCCCAGTAGAACAGCACATAAGGAACCCCAAAAGACACCCCAACGAGATACCCCCAACGAGACACCCCAACGAGACACCCCAACGAGACACCCCAACAATACGCCCCATCTAACCAAACCCCCCACCCCCCTCACCTAAACCCACCCTCTAAACCCGCATGTCCACCAAATAGGGCGCATCCGCCCACGGAGCATCCCATCCCATCTCCTCCTCAAAATCCTCCCGCTCCACCGAAACAGCCTCTGGGCCTCTCATCATCGACGCCGCGCGCAACAAGATCACACGCGCCTGAGCCCGCTGCAAAGCCACACCTATGGCCGCATTAAGTGATCCAAGCAAGTAAGCCGAGAAACCTTTCCCCGTAGCTCTCGCCGCCCCTTTCGTCTTCGCTACCTCAATCTGCGCGTCGCCCTGTTTCTTAAGCCACCGCCCAAAACTCCCCCCCAGGCAACCCCATGTCTCAGCAATGAGAGGTGTAAACTGCACTCCCCTATGTCGCTGCAGAAGCAATTTGTAGTCCGCCGCCTTCCGCTTTTCCCTCTCTCTAGCGGCAAAACCCACCTTGCGACCAATCTGTCCATGGTGCTGCGCGGACAACGAGATAGGGTCCACCACACTAACCTCCAGCGCATGCTCCTCCCCCTCCCTCAGTCTCCGCACCGCCACATCCACCCTCTTCCCTGGCAGCAACGTGTCGTCTTCCATGGTCACGACCCCACCCGCCCCTTTAGCTATCTTCGCCACCACAAACTTAACCGCGTCGTGAACACGAGAAGGTGCGTACTGGTACTTGCAGCGAAGGGCATGATGCGGGTCAGAGGGATCAGCAAACTCAAACCCACACGCGCACTTGCCGGCGACTATCAGCTGCTGTATGGGGAGGCCTAGGCGCATGGACGCACAGATGCTCCACTCGGCTGCGGTGAAGGTAGCCTCTTCGTGCGAAGGGACGGCGGAGACCCACGCCCCTGCCCCCGGGCCCTGAAGGGATGTCAAACGGGCCATGGTGGCGTCGTCGTGGGCCATACCCCGAAGAGTCTGCAGACTCTCAACCGCTAGGCGACGGTGTTGTGTGGGGAAAAGCAGCACAGGGGGGTCAGCGGTGCATAAGGCTAGGGGTGGCATCTCCTGCCTGACCGACTGTGGCAGCAGCTCCACTGCTCTCGCAAACCAAGGATCCAGCAAGGTCGTAGCCTCGGGTGTGCGGAAAAACTCCTCAAACATCCGTTCCTCCCCTGCCACCCCCATCCGAGCCACATCGCTCACTGCCTGGCACCAACCACATGCGTACGACAGAGGGCTAAGGTCAGCTGCAGATCGAATGCCAAACCCTCCAAGTCTGGCTGGAAGGTGCAGCTGTAGACGGGCCATCTGCGACCTTGCCGAATCATGATCCCAGGTGCTATCTGGAAACAGCTGCTCAAAACAATCCTCAAGCTTCGTGTCCCAGTCGTGGAAAGCCTCCACAACCTCAGGCCGTGGAGGCATCGTCCTTGTGAGGTAAATCGGGCGCGCTGACACTGCGATCGCCAGCAGATGGGACGCAATCTGTGGGTGGTCGAGCAAAGGAAGCCAAGGGACAGGTGCATGCAGCTGCATCAGCCGGCCTTGCAAGCTGGCCACCTCCCACTCCTCCTCCCCAATAGGAACCCCCACTACGGTGAGCCCGGTCCATGTTTGCTGCATGCCGGGCGGGACGGTCTCGTTCCTCTCCTCTCCCTCCTGGTCCACCCCTCGCTCCCAAAGCTTGCACTTATGCGGCTGCACCTCCAGACCAAGCCCGCCCAGTCGTTCCCGCAAGACCTCATAAGCTGCTAGCACCCGCTCCCTAGGCCCCAAGATGTACGTATCATCGGCGTAGCTGAGAAAGAGTAGGTCGGCGAATTCTTGTTTGGTGGGCTCCATAACCAGCTGCTGTGTGAACGCGAACAGAAACGGCCCCAATGGGTCCCCTTGCCTCGATCCTCGCTCTAAAGCCAAAGCTTCGACGAAGGGGCCCGCACGGAGGTAGAGGTCGCTAGGAGTGCCGTAGAAGACACGCAGGAATGGGATCAAACCCGCAAAAGGCGACTGTCGAAGTCCTTCAAACATTTCCCGCCGATGGAAGGAGTTGAAAGCATTCGCCACATCAATTTGAAGCGCGCACCATGACGGGTGAGTAGAGATGGCAGAACGAAAGGCATGTGCGAGGACTTCCACTCCCGACCTGGATCCGACTCCTAGCTGGTTACACGGCGCAAAGTGCGACATCATCTTCGGCCGAAGCACGATGCATAGGGCCCGAGATAGTATGCGGGGGAGCACCTCGCCTATAGCCACCGGGCGAACGTCACCATTCGGCTTCGACAGGCCCACAAGGTTGGACGCAGTGAGCCAGGGTCGCACGCGCTCCGCTACCTCTCCCTTGGTCCACTGGGTGAAGACTCCTAGCAGGTGAGGCAGGTATGCGGGCTCAGAGAGAAAAGTGTCGCGCAGGTGCTCCGTCACCCACCCCGACGGTCCTGGTGCCGACGCCCTAGCCGCAGAGTGGATCGCCTGACCAAGTACCTCCACTGAGAGCTGCGGGATAAGGGAAGGCTCAACTATCTCCTCCTGCAACCACTCCGGAATGGCGGTCTCGCTCGATGGGTGTTTCGCTCGCAGCGCGTCCACCATGTGCTGAGAGGGCTGAGCGATGCTACCGGCAGTAAGACACGCCAAACCCCGACTCCATTCTCCCACTTTGCACCTTGTGCGGCAGCGAGCCAGGCGCACCGCATCAGGATCATGCTCGGGGGGGGTGAAGGACAAAGGACGCACCGCAGGTTGCATTACCGCCACCGCCAACTCAAACAGCTCCCGCCACTCCCCGACCCAAAACTTCTCCAACCGCTCCCTGATTGCCGCCCTATGCCCCTGGCCTTGCCCAGTTGGCATCCCCAAGATAAGACGAGGGAAGGCCAAAAAGACCAAGGACGCCGCCTCGTCTGCTGCCTTTAACTGTAGCCGCTTCAGGACACAAGACAGTGCATCAAGCACCCCCAATCTAGCGCGCTGTGGGATACGACGCATGATTCTCCCTGGCACCAATTCGATCCCAAAAAACGACTCCCAGTCCCATGTAGGAACTGCGGCCCATACCTCTTCACTGATATCACGTGGTGGCGGGGGTTCGCCGTCCGAGTCATCTGTGACGTCGCGGGTCAACCCAAGCGCCTGAGCACGACGCTGGGCGTCCGCTGCCCTGCAGGCCGACATATGGCGTGTGGCCTTTCCTCTCTCCGTGAACGTGCGATAACAGGTTTCGCACGGAATGCGGGGCGGGGGTGTCAATGTAGGGTCTGGGTGCTCCTCCCTGCAAGACGCCGGCAAGACCCTCCTGCTAGACTCCGTCTCCATGCCCCCCTCTAACGGCCTTGCAAGCTCCATCCCTCCGCACTGCAGCTGCTGCTGCCCTCCGCTCTGCAACTGCTGCTGCCCTTCGCTCTGCAATTGCCGTTGCCCTCCGCTCTGCAGCTCCTGCTGCCCTCCGCTCTGCAGCTGCTGCTGCCCTCCGCTCTGCAGCTGCTGCTGCCCTCCGCTCTGCAGCTGCTGCTGCCCTCCGCTCTGCAGCTGCTGCTGCCCTCCGCTCTGCAGCTGCTGCTGCCCTCCGCTCTGCAGCTCCCGCTGCCCTCCGCTCGGCAGCTGCTGCTGCCCTCCGCTCTGCAGCTGCTGCTGCCCTCCGCTCTGCAGCTGCTGCTGCCCTCCGCTCTGCAGCTCCTGCTGCCCTCCGCTCTGCAGCTGCTGCTGCCCTCCGCTCTGCAGCTGCTGCTGCCCTCCGCTCGGCAGCTGGTGCCCTCCGCTCTGCAGCTGCTGCTGCCCTCCGCTCGGCAGCTGCTGCTGCCCTCCGCTCTGCAGCTGCAGCTGCCCTCCGCTCGGCAACTGCTGCTGCCCTCCGCTCTGCAGCTGCTGCTGCTCTCCGCTCGGCAGCTGCTGCTGCCCTCCGCTCTGCAGCTGCTGCAGTTTGGTTGCCCGTCGCCTCCGGCCCCGGCCCCGCGCTCGGGGCCTTTCCGCTTGGTCCGGGGAATCAGGGTTGGCATTCTCCCCCTCCATGGGGCTTGATTCCAGCTCATCGGTGCAAGCCTCGTCCGCCATCTCCACATCCAACACCCAAACCGGCTCTTGCTGCCCTCCGCTCTGCAGCTGCTGCTGCCCTCCGCTCTGCAGCTCCCGCTGCCCTCCGCTCGGCAGCTGCTGCTGCCCTCCGCTCTGCAGCTGCTGCTGCCCTCCGCTCTGCAGCTGCTGCTGCCCTCCGCTCTGCAGCTCCTGCTCCCCTTCGCTCTGCAGCTCCTGCTGCCCTCCGCTCTGCAGCTGCCGCTGCCCTCCACTCGGCAGCTGCCGCTGCCCTCCGCTCGGCAGCTCCTGCTGCCCTCCGCTCTGCAGCTGCTGCTGCCCTCCGCTCGGCAGCTGCTGTTGCCCTCCGCTCTGCAGCTCCTGCTGCCCTCCGCTCTGCAGCTCCTGCTGCCCTCCGCTCTGCAGCTCCTGCTGCCCTCCGCTCTGCAGCTCCTGCTGCCCTCCGCTCTGCAGCTCCTGCTGCCCTCCGCTCTGCAGCTGCTGCTGCCCTCCGCTCGGCAGCTGCTGCTGCCCTCCGCTCGGCAGCTGCTGCTGCCCTCCGCTCTGCAGCTGCTGCTGCCCTCCGCTCGGCAGCTGCTGCTGCCCTCCGCTCTGCAGCTGCTGCTGCCCTCCGCTCGGCAGCTGCTGCTGCCCTCCGCTCTGCAGCTGCTGCTGCCCTCCGCTCTGCAGCTGCTGCTGCCCTCCGCTCTGCAGCTGCTGCTGCCCTCCGCTCGGCAGCTGCTGCTGCCCTCCGCTCTGCAGCTGCTGCTGCCCTCCGCTCGGCAGCTGCTGCTGCCCTCCGCTCTGCAGCTGCTGCTGCCCTCCGCTCGGCAGCTGCTGCTGCCCTCCGCTCTGCAGCTGCTGCAGTTTGGTTGCCCGTCGCCTCCGACCCCGGCCCCGCGCTCGGGGCCTTTCCGCTTGGTCCGGGGAATCAGGGTTGGCATTCTCCCCCTCCATGGGGCTTGATTCCAGCTCATCGGTGCAAGCCTCGTCCGCCATCTCCACATCCAACACCCAAACTGGCTCTTGCTGCCCTCCGCTCTGCAGCTGCTGCTGCCCTCCGCTCTGCAGCTCCCGCTGCCCTCCGCTCGGCAGCTGCTGCTGCCCTCCGCTCTGCAGCTGCTGCTGCCCTCCGCTCTGCAGCTGCTGCTGCCCTCCGCTCTGCAGCTCCTGCTGCCCTTCGCTCTGCAGCTCCTGCTGCCCTCCGCTCCGCAGCTGCCGCTGCCCTCCACTCGGCAGCTGCCGCTGCCCTCCGCTCGGCAGCTCCTGCTGCCCTCCGCTCTGCAGCTGCTGCTGCCCTCCGCTCGGCAGCTGCTGTTGCCCTCCGCTCTGCAGCTCCTGCTGCCCTCCGCTCTGCAGCTCCTGCTGCCCTCCGCTCTGCAGCTCCTGCTGCCCTCCGCTCTGCAGCTCCTGCTGCCCTCCGCTCTGCAGCTCCTGCTGCCCTCCGCTCTGCAGCTGCTGCTGCCCTCCGCTCGGCAGCTGCTGCTGCCCTCCGCTCGGCAGCTGCTGCTGCCCTCCGGTCTGCAGCTGCTGCTGCCCTCCGCTCGGCAGCTGCTGCTGCCCTCCGCTCTGCAGCTGCTGCTGCCCTCCGCTCGGCAGCTGCTGCTGCCCTCCGCTCTGCAGCTGCTGCTGCCCTCCGCTCGGCAGCTGCTGCTGCCCTCCGCTCTGCAGCTGCTGCTGCCCTCCGCTCGGCAGCTGCTGCTGCCCTCCGCTCTGCAGCTGCTGCTGCCCTCCGCTCGGCAGCTGCTGCTGCCCTCCGCTCTGCAGCTGCTGCTGCCCTCCGCTCGGCAGCTGCTGCTGCCCTCCGCTCTGCAGCTGCTGCTGCCCTCCGCTCGGCAGCTGCTGCTGCCCTCCGCTCTGCAGCTGCTGCTGCCCTCCGCTCGGCAGCTGCTGCTGCCCTCCGCTCTGCAGCTGCTGCAGTTTGGTTGCCCGTCGCCTCCGGCCCCGGCCCCGCGCTCGGGGCCTTTCCGCTTGGTCCGGGGAATCAGGGTTGGCATTCTCCCCCTCCATGGGGCTTGATTCCAGCTCATCGGTGCAAGCCTCGTCCGCCATCTCCACATCCAACACCCAAACTGGCTCTTGCTGCCCTCCGCTCTGCAGCTCCTGCTGCCCTCCGCTCTGCAGCTCCTGCTGCCCTCCGCTCTGCAGCTGCTGCTGCCCTCCGCTCTGCAGCTGCTGCTGCCCTCCACTCTGCAGCTCCTGCTGCCCTCCGCTCTGCAGCTCCTGCTGCCCTCCGCTCTGCAGCTGCTGCTGCCCTCCGCTCTGCAGCTGCTGCTGCCCTCCGCTCTGCAGCTCCTGCTGCCCTCCGCTCAGCAGCTCCTGCTGCCCTCCGCTCTGCAGCTGCTGCTGCCCTCCGCTTTGCAGCTCCTGCTGCCCTTTGCTCTGCAGCTCCTGCTGCCCTCCGCTCTGCAGCTGCTGCTGCCCTCCGCTCTGCAGCTGCTGCTGCCCTCCGCTCTGCAGCTCCTGCTGCCCTCCGCTCTGCAGCTCCTGCTGCCCTCCGCTCTGCAGCTGCTGCTGCCCTCCGCTCTGCAGCTGCTGCTGCCCTCCGCTCTGCAGCTGCTGCTGCCCTCCGCTCTGCAGCTCCTGCTGCCCTCCGCTCTGCAGCTGCTGCTGCCCCCCGCTCTGCAGCTCCTGCTGCCCTCCGCTCTGCAGCTCCTGCTGCCCCGTCCCCACCGGCGGCTGCCGGCTCCTCTCCCGGGCCCCCTGCTGCCCGCCCACCTGCGGGTCACGCTGACCCCCCACTAGTGGCTCCTGCTGCCTGTCTTTCCCCGCCGCACTCCGGCGCCTCCGCTCCTGCCGCCATGCGAGACGTGGCACGACCGGGGGGATTGCGGCGTCGGCCGAGCCGGCGCCGTGCAACACTGCCCTCATAGGTAGGCAGCGTCTGCGAGTGTCATGCTGTTGTTGCAAGCGCCTACGGTGTTCCTCCCAGGCTGCCCTCGCTACCTCCGATGCCACCCGTGGTACAACCGCCGCCTCGTCGACTGGACCCTTTTCGGTTGTTGCTCCCCCCCTTTCTCCGATGATGGCCGAAGGTACAGGGTAATCGCCGTCAGACCCGGTGTTGGGAGGGTCTTCGAGAGGTTGGCCGCATGTCAGTACTGAAATCGAACGGCCTGCTTCACAACACTGTCTCTTGGCTGGTTTGCCAAAGAGGCACAGAAGGTCTTCGTGGTGGAGGCGACGAATGCGTGGGCTCTGGAGCGCACTCTCAGCCCCCCCCCGTCTTTTGTGACCGGTCAATAGGTGGAGCGACCAACCAGCTGCTACTGTGCTTACCCCCCCTTCACCCCCGAAGGCTCCCGTCACGTCGCTGTCAAGGCCGCCCCACACCTGGCCCCCGGGATCCCCGGGGTCCGGGTCGTCCGCCATGGCTCAAGGATCTGGCTAAGGCTTGTTCGCTTACTCTCTGCTACTGCTCTTACTCTACGGTGCTGCTATGGCGCGGGTTTCGCTGCAAAGGTGCTGTCTTCGCTGCTACGGCACACATCACACTCTTATGGCGCGGGTTTCACTGCGATGGCCCAGGCGCGATCGGGGGTGGTCGAGGAGGTCCCGACCTTCTCAGCACCAGCTCGTGCGTCACCTATTCTTGCTGCTCACACTGGTCGTCGTGTTCCGCGTCAGCGTCCTCTTGCTGTCCCAGGCACTCACCAGATGGCACTTCGTCCTTCCATTGCTCCTCAGCGTGTCCCTCTGCCGTCTCCTCCTGCGTCTTCTCATCCTGCTCTTGCTGACCCGGAGTCTGACTCCCTTCGTGCTGCCAGTCCTACTGTCACGCGTCTCCTCGCCACAGTTGTCACTGACCCTTCCTTTGAGTCCTCTGCTGCGTCTGCTCTAGTCGCTGAGTTAGTTGACTTTGCTGCCGCTTGTCGTCTAGACTACGCTGCTAGCCTTGTCACTGAGTCTGAGTCTGAGTCTGTCTGTCCTTCGTCCGTCGGGGGTGAGTGTGCTCTTGGCACGGACGTCCTTGAGGACAGGCAGGAGGAGTTTGAGTGCTTTGCCGCTGCGTTACCTCATCTCGTGTCCATGCTGGTTGCCCCTGAGGGAGACCCGGATGCTCCAGACATCCCGACCCCGCGCTCTTACGCTGAGGCGATCGCGGGTGAGTACTCCTCTCAGTGGCAGACAGCCATGGACGCAGAGATGGCTTCTTGGAAGTCCACAGGCACCTACGTCGACGAGGTTCCCCCACCTGGGGCGAACATCGTCAGTGGCATGTGGATTTTCAGGGTGAAGCGACCGCCGGGTTCTCCGCCTACCTTCAAGGCGCGTTACGTTGCACGAGGCTTCAGTCAGCGAGAGGGAGTTGACTTCTTCCAGACCTTCTCCCCGACCCCGAAGATGACCACTCTTCGGGTTCTGCTGCACGTCGCCGCTCAGCGTGACTACGAGCTCCACTCTCTTGACTTCAGCACAGCTTTCTTGCAGGGCAGCCTGCACGAGGAGATCTGGCTGCGCCGCCCACCTGGCTTCACTGGGTCGTTCCCTCCTGGTACCCAGTGGAGCCTCCGACGGCCAGTCTACGGTCTCCGCCAGGCGTCGCGTGAGTGGCACGACACACTGAGGACTACACTTGCGGCTCTTGGGTTCGCTCCTAATACTGCTGACCCGTCGCTGTTTCTACGCACCGACACTTCACTGCCGCCGTTCTACATCCTCGTGTACGTCGACGACTTGGTCTTTGCCACTGCTGACACTACGGCACTCGCCCACGTGAAGTCGGAGCTGCAGAAGAGACACACGTGCACAGACCTGGGTGAACTGACAAGCTATCTTGGCTTGCGGATCACCCGGGACAGAGCACGGCGCACCATCACCTTGACTCAGTCACACATGGTGCAGCAGGTCCTTCAGCGCTTCCGCTTCACGTACTCCTCGCCTCAGCCCACTCCTCTGCCTACCGGTCACTCGCTCTCAGCTCTGCCTTCGGATGAGTCCGTAGAGCCGAGTGGCCCGTATCCAGAGCTTGTGGGCTGCCTCATGTACCTGATGACCTGCACTCGACCTGACCTTGCATACCCTCTTAGCATCCTTGCACGCTATGTCGCTCCTGGTCGTCACCGGAAGGAGCACATGGATGCCGCTAAGAGGGTGTTGCGTTACTTGTGCAGTACGTCGGGCATGGGGCTAGTGCTTGGAGGACGAAACCGAGTTGTACTCACTGGGCACTCAGACGCTTCTTGGGCTGACGACCAGGCTACTCAGCGGTCGTCTCAGGGTTACACCTTCAGCCTTGGCTCTGGTTCTGTTTCTTGGCGTTCTACACGCTCGTCTTCCGTTCTCAGCTCCAGTTGTGAGGCTGAGATCTACGCCACAGCCATGGCTGCACAGGAGTTACGCTGGCTCACCTACCTGCTGACCGACTTGGGAGAGCGGCCTCGTTCTCCTCCAGTGCTGTACGTCGACAACAAGGCTACCATTGCCTTGTGTGAGGAACACAGACTGGAGCACAGAACGAAGCATATCGCTCTACGGTACTTCCTTGCTCGAGAGCTGCAGCAGCGTGGTCAGCTTCGTCTGCGTTACGTGGCCACTCGGGCCAACACTGCTGATGTGTTCACCAAGGCGCTTCAGCCTTGTGACCATCAGCGCTTCTGTACTGTTCTAGGCCTTGTGTCTACTGTGCCTCACTTGCTTACTTCTTGACTCTGTTTGTACTGTGATCTCTATATATATACCTGCATACTTACACTTGCTAGGTTGTGCTCACTGTACCCCTTGCTATATTATTAAACTGCATGTGAACTGGTCTTGTGACCACTTGCTTGTGCTCGGAATTTGTGTGGTTTCCTCGAGATCCACCCTGAGCTTGCTTTGCCCTTCCTGACTGGTCTTGTGACCACTACTTGCTCTGGCTATGCCCCATTTCGCCTATGGGGGTGTGTCAAAACATATGCATAATTGTATCTAGGCTATATTGGGGCTAGCCTTAGGGGGTACACAAATAGTCTCGACACTCTAGTCTTGCACCCCAATCTTCACCTAATCATCACCTTTTCTCGTTCCCTAGCTAGTGATTCTAATACGTCCGTAACAACCGACGTGAGCGCGGGATTGATACGACGTGGATTATTAACGCCGACCAAACACCGCTGTGGCTGGAGATGCCCGCCACCACCACCGTGGATCAGAAGGGAGTTCGCTCGGTGCATATCAGGAGCGCGGGTTACCAGAAGCAGCGAGTAACCGTGATGTTGGCGTGCACTGCTGACGGGGTGAAGCTGAAACCATGGGTCTTCTTCAAGCGCAAGACGGTGCCGAAGGGGGATTTCCCGACGGGTAAGACATCCTTGCCTATTCATGTACTCATGTTTGATGTCGTCGCAGTTTAACATGCGTAGTTCCTTTTATTGCGTGCGCAGATGTGGTGGTGGGGTGCCAAGACAACGGCTGGATGGACGCCGACGGCGTCGCGAAGTGGCTTGACGGGTGTATCAAGCCTTTCATGAAGCCTCGGTTCGGCAGGCAGGCGTAGAGCGCGATGATCGTTCTGGATTCTTACCGCGGGCATCTCACGGACGAGGTGAAGAAGAAGTTCGCCGAGCTCAACATCGTCCCGGCTATCATCCCAGGAGGCTGTACGGCGGAGGTACAGCCGTTCGACGTCTCGGTCAACAAGAGTTTCAAAGCCTCCGTCCGCCAGCAGTACCAGAGCTGGTTTGAGGAAGAAGGCTTGGAGAGGCTGACCCCCGCAGATATGCTTTGGCCTTGTTGTTTAACGTCTAGCAGTTTTGTCCTCTCCCTTTGTTGTTCTAATCACCCCCGTGAGTGCCATGTGGTGCAGGGAATCTTAAGAAGCCGCCAGCAGAGGTGGTTCTCAGGTGGATCTCCAGGGCCTGGAAGGCAGTCCCCGCCGAACTTATCAAGAAGGCGTTTCTAACATGCGGCATCAGCAACGCACTAGACGGGAGCGAGGACAATCTCACTATGGCGCACAGGAGGAGCCAGCTCACGCACGAAGTGGACGTGGACGACGACATCACGGCCGACGGCTTCTGGGGCAACAACTGCCCGGACCCTGAGTCAGACGAAGATGAGGAGACGTGCTAGGGGTTGTAAAGCCGTGCAGTAGCTTGAATATAGTGATTGTATGCTCAGACCGTGCTAGTGTAATCATTAGAACATTATGTTGTCTTTGTGAGTACAAGCTAGATGAATTGTGGTTAGATAAAACTAAAAAAAAAAAAAAAAAAAAAAAAAACCCAATACCGAACAAGGGGGCGCTTATAATAAGTATAGGTTTCAAAAGGGGTGCACTTCTAATCGAGTCGCGTCTATAAGCGCCTGCTCCAGATAGAAGCGCCGGCGCCTTTAAACGGACGGCGCTTATATCCGGGGCTATACGGTATATGTATCCCATTGCTTACTAGTGAAACCCCTCTTCTCTGTTCTACCTTCTGCTTGCTATCTTGACATGCTATCAGAGCGAGATCGCTCCTGGCCTGTGGGCCCACCTGCTTCCGTTGCTGTCCTACCTGTCGCGCGCCTCGGGCGCGCGACGTCTTCTGCCTGCCGCGCGACGCGGTTTCGTCGCCCGACGCGGCGCCCCGGGGCCCGCGCGTTGTCCCCTCCCGTCGCCCGCTGCGGCGTCCCGGGGGCCCGCGCGCCGCCCCCCTCCCGTCGCCCGTCGAAGCGCCCCGGGAGCCCGCGCGCAGCCCTGCCCGTCGCCCGCCGTGGCGCCCTGGGGGCCCGCGCGTCGCCCCCCCTCCCGTCGCCCGTCGAAGCGCCCCGGGGGCCTGCGCGCCGCCCTGCCCGTCGCAGCGCCCCAGGGACCCGCGCGCCGCCCCGCTTCCGCTCGCACGCCGCCCCAGCTGCTGCCTGCGTTTGGGGTATGGGGGTGGCGGGTATAGGGGTGGCGGGTGTGTGAG